TCTTCCCGTCTTTGGGATATTTGATTCTCTCTGTATGCTTGTCATGCCTTGCTATTTGGGTCGAATCCTCTCCATTAATGGCTATTTTTTCAAGGTGAATCTGACACTGACGCTCTTTTGTTTTCTTCGAAATTTTGAATTTCAAATCCTATGAGTGACGTGCGTCCCGTCAACCGCTGACTCCTCGTATTTTGTGCCTCATCACGATCGTTGGTTTCCTTATCAATCTGACGGCTAACATCTATCTTATTTTCTATAAATACGATTGATTTTCTCCTTTAAACACTTTTCACTTCTTCCCAATTTCTTTGCAACTCCGGCGACCTGATAATCCAAGCTTTTTCGGCGACCTTCCCTGCTATCCCGGTGTTTTTAATCAATCTTTCGGTTCATCATGAGCAACATCGGTAAGCGCTTATCCTCTCTAATATTCTTTTGTCTTTCTGGGTTCTTTGAGTTTTTCTGCATCTTTGTGTGTTCTTCGTGTTCTTTGCATTCTTTAAATTTTTTCTTGAAGATTTTGTGTTGAATCTTGTGTACACATCCTTTATTTTAGTTAGTTGTTATCGTGTAGCCGAGTTATAGCGTGCAACCACTTTTCGGCTATTATCATGTCGATTCTTACCAACATCCATCTTCTTTCTTTATGTACTTCCATCGAGCTGGCCTCGTGTCGTCTTGCCATCATGCCTACAACAAATCACACCATATATTTTTTTTTTGGCCTCTTTCGTTTTTTCGTCGACTTAAGTGAGTCGACTGTACTTTGCTTGATTTTGTTTCGTCCTGCCTGATCTTTGCTTTTTGATTCTTTTTCTTCTAGCATCCAATTTCGGCTCTTCGCCTGACACACTCGACAAATTGATCGATAGAGGCCTCGACCAATCTGACTCAAGCTCGGTCGAGATAGTCGGCTATAAGATGGTTAACATTTCTCCTTCTTCATCGCGCACTTCGACCCCGAAGGTTGACTGGGCTGAGTATGATCAGGCGCTATTAGATGGTGGTCTAGTAGAGGTATCAAGGAGTCCCCAGGGAAACTCTCCTCGTCTCGACTTGATTCCTCGAGGTATTCCCCTTAGGTTGTTAGATATTCCTGTGTATAGTACAGTCCTGTACCTACGTCAATAATTACTCCTCTTGGCGACCCTCGCCAGATTGTATCCATAGCCTGCCCTCTGGCCAAATTGGCCACTTTAAACCCCTTTTCTTATGCTTCTATGGCTCAAGTCGAGAGCTTTAGGCAATTCAGTGGGCTTCCCTCCGATTGGGAGTTGGTTGCTCCAGGCCCTGACAGCGACTTCACCTGCCCCCCGCAGGGTTATCATACTTTTTTCGCCGACCAAGTCATTTTTGGCCTCCGCTTTCCCATCCAAGTCGAGCTTATGGAGATAAGTGATCTGTACAATATCCCTATAAATCAGTTTTCTCCCAATGCTCTCTGTATCATGATAGATTTTATCGTTGTTTCTCGTATAGTTCTCCAATTTTTCTCGGCCGAATTTTTTCATTACTGTTATAGTTATCGACTTCAAAAGGGGGCTCATTGTTTAATCCGCCGTTCCGGCGTCACCTTTCTTGACGACCTCTTCTCAAATATCCCGGAGTGGAAGTCGAAATTCGTTTTCATCCGCCCTCCCGTCAGTGCTTATCCTTACGCAAATAATTGGATAAGCACGAAAGTTAAACAAAATAAAAGGTCTCGATCCAAAAACTTCGAAAGGCTCTTAGAGGAGTTGAATAAGCATACTTATAGTGCTCGTCGTGTAATAAAAGATCGTGAGCTGGTTAATCATGCGCGAATCGTTTTGTATGATGATATTTCTCGACTCGATGATCCCCGTAAGCTGTCTGATATTTCTCATAATGTTGAGTTTGTTTTCTATTTCAGCCTTGTTTGATTATTTTGTTTTTATTTCAGTCAAAGTACTCAAACGCTTCGAGGTAAAAAAGAAACAGTCGACTGGTCAGTTGACCGACGGGTCTGCTCATCCTCCACCTGGCGGATCCAGATCGAAGTCGATTCTTGCGGCGAAGCTATCTAAAACTTTGGGGCCCAGTAATCGCAAGAGACCACAAGATGAAAGGACCCCTTCTCTCCTTCTTGACGACCTTAAGCGCCGCAAGGTCGACAAGGGCAAGGAAAAAGTCGTCGAAAGGAGTGGTGCCTCTGCCGTCACTTACAAGGACGTGCTGGTCAAGATGCCGTCTCGGCTTTGGAACCATCCAGAACCGCATAAGGTGGCCCGCTACCTACATTCTTTGCTCCCCGAGGCCGATAAGGACCGCATCGAGGGGAATAATTATGAGCGTTCTTGCTACGCTACCCAGTGCCTTGCTCTGGTATGTTCCTCTTACTCGAATTTAGCGTTTATGCTCACATATGCTCGCATTATTTTCTTATCTTCCTCCCCCCTCCTTTTTTTGTGTAGTTCTTAGCAGCCGTTCTTCCTGGTCTTGAGACGGGTACCAAGGCCCCTACCTCTTCTACTAAGGCCCTCGAGGATAGATGTGAGGCGCAACTCAGAGAAATCGCCAAGCTGAAGGCAGACTTGGAGGGATCTAAGGCTTTAGTCGACAAGCTGAAGACCGACAAGGCCGTGGCCCAGCACGACAACGAGAAGCTCCAGGCCGATCTTGAAAAAGCTTGGGAGGAGATCGTCTATGAGAGGGACATCGGCACTGTGCAGGGCCGCAAGTCGTTTCTCACGACACCGCTGGGTGCTCTCTTCCTCAAGACTTACCGCGAGGAAGTTGTCAATGTAATATCCCGACTTTTTATCAGTATAATAATATTTTAGTTCCGATATTATTTTTCGAAATTAATTATTTTCAGTTATTTCAGTCGAAATTACCGGATAATATTTTCGACGTACCGTTTACGTTCGAAATAATATTGGTAATTTAGCATTATGTTTAATTGGATAATTAAACATAATTAAGTGATTAATTAACATTAATCACGAGATTAGCATTAAGTGTTCGGATTTTAATCCCTTCATGCTAAATTGCCGTGCATTGCTCGGTCCATGTCCTTGTGCATAATGCCGTGCATACGCTCGTGCG